TGTGCCAGGGCCTCCCCACCCTCCCAGGGAGGAATTCCTTCCCAATATCCCATCTGGCAGCGGGAAGCTGCTCCCCCTTATCCCTGTGCTCCCGAACACCCATTTCCAGGCAGTTCCTGCATCCCCACAAGTTTCCCGAGGAGATCTTTTAAATCGGGATGGTTTGGGCGATCACCCAGGCAGGAAGCTCAGGGAAAACGGAGGAAAATCTCTTCCAGCGTGTACGAATTGCCTTCCACCCTCCTGCCTGGCTTTGTCCAGCTGGGAGCAGGGCCAGCATTCCTGGAGAATCCCTCCTGTCACATCCCCCTGCTGTTCCAGCTCTTTAGGGACACCGGGCACCAACTCCACCAGGAGCAGAGGGCACTAAACCCCGATCAGGGGCTGCCGCCTCCTCCTCCTTTCCCTGGAGGCAAAATTCCTCCTGGGAGCAGCAGCGCCCGCGGGTTTGGAGCAGGAGCACAAAGGCAGCTTTGTCCGGGGGAACAGCCCAGCCTTTCTTCCAGCACACAAAAACACAACCACAGCCCTCCCGGCGCTTCCCGGGAAAAGCAGAGCCCTGGGATGCGGCGCTGGGAAGCAGAAAGCGGCTCTGTTCTGTCTGGGAGAAGGAGGGGAAGGATGGAGCACAGGGAGCATCCCAGAGGGAACAGCCCCTTCCATGAGCACATCCCAGAGGCACCAGCTCCAGTGGGAAACGCTGCCTCCTCTGGAAAACCCTCTGGATTCCTCCTGATTCCCACAGGACGCCAGGCAGGACTGACCCCTCCCCAGCAAAGCCCTTCAGCACACGATTCATCCTCCTCGGAGCAGACGCTGGAAATCCAGTCAGGATGAGGATGAGGATGAGTCTGCGTGGATAAAACACCTCCTGCTCTGCAAAAAACCGGGAATTAGCTCTTTTCCGTGGCCTGATGGAAGACACCAGGAGCCTAAGGAAAAAAGAACAACCACACTGCAGGAAATCCTCAACCTGCTTGGCCATCACCTGCCTGCCACAGCAAGGCAATAAATCCCAAAATCTGCTCTCAGCATCAGCCTGCAGCTTTCACTTGAAAAACAAAGAGGCACAAAACCTCTACATGGATATAAAAATACTCAGAAGTGTAAATAACCACCGCTAGACTCCTGTTTCTTGCATGTATCTCATTTTTCCACACCCAGGATCCCAGTTTTCCTCCTGTAAAGCGAATATAACGCAGCTCCTTTCCTTTAAGAGCCCTCCTTCCTCCCAAATGGACACAAACCCCCCACTTTGCCCCTCAGGAAAATCATTCCCAGAGCCCACGAGCTGCAGATCCGGCTGGAACGTGATTTTCCTGCACCAGGACAGGTCCTGTTCCCCTGCTGGTCATAACCAGCTGCTTGTTTGCTTGCTTAAGTCAGGGTTATAAAACAAAGAAAAAATAAGGACTTATCTCCCCCAGCCATCATTGTTAAAGAAAAATTCATTCAGGAACCCAGGGAGTTAAAAAAATTGTTCAGAATGTCAACAAGGACAAGCATCTCCAGCCACTTTGCTGTAAAACTTGTTTTTTGGGGGCTGATTGGGCTCCTTTAACAAGAGGAGCTGCTTAGAAACGAGCCATGAGTGAGAGCATTTGCAATATCTGCTTTGATTTTATCACCCCACAGAAGGGTCTGACCTCCCCAAGAAGCAGAAACCTCCCCTGCAGGAAGCATCCAGTTCCATTTTTTTGTTTTAGTTTGGGTTTTTTTTTTCAATTTACTCCTCTAAGTTTTGTTCTGGAGAAGCAAAACCTTCACTTCCTTGTCTTTAAAAAGTGCATTTTTTTTTTTTTTTTTAGCAGAGCACGGAGATCACAGGGAGAGGATGAAAGGCTTAAAGGGGATCTTGTAGCTGACAGGAATCATGATCTTCCTTAAAACAAACCTTAAAACAATTGCTCCAAGTCGGTTTTGAAGGAAATGGGAGCCTCCAGGAGCAAGAGTTTAAACAGAAGCAAACTTTTGGGGACACCCAGATCAAGTGACAGCCACCACGAGACTGGGCTGGCTGGAAAGCTGGGCCAAAAAATATCAGGCAGGGGGGACTTGTTCCCTGCAATAATCAGCAAGAAAAGCCAGTGATTTGTTCATGGAATTCCTTTAGGGGAGAGTGAGAGCTTTCCAAAGGTCATGGCCCTGGACTTTGTGTCACCCAGCAATAAAGAGCTGTAAAATTATATCTGCAAACAATATTTACTGGCATGCTGGTAAAAGCAGGAATAATCAGAATAAAGCAGGAATAATCAGAATAATCAGGCTGTCCCAGTGTCTGGGACAGCAGGAACTGCTTTGTGCAGGAAAGCACCCTCAGAGCAAAGAACTCCTCCCTAATATCTAATCTAAACCTAATTTCTAATCTAAATTTAATTTCTAATCTAAACTTAATTTTTAATCTAAACTTAATTTCTAATCTAAACCTAATTTCTAATCTAAACTTAATTTTTAATCTAAACCTAATTTCTAATCTAAACCTCCCCTCTGTCAGTTTGAAGCCAGGCTCCCACGGGAAAAGCCTCCTTAAAATCTCCCATTTTCAGGAGAGGAAGACCCTGCTCTGAGTGCTTTGAGGGCTCCAGCACCGGAATGATGTTTCCTCCTCCACATTTCAGAATCCTGGGATATTCTGAGCAGGAAGGGACCCACAAGGAACAAGTTCTTCCAGGGGCTGAACCCACAACCTTGGCATTGTTGGCACCATCCTCTCACCATCTTCTGAGCTCTTTTATCCCAGGGATGTGCACCCAAGACCCCCCAGGTTGCAGGTGGGCAGTAAAAATAATCCAATGTCCCCCAGTGCCACGAAAACTTCTCAGATCCTCCAGCTCTCCTTGGGAGAATGTCAAGAATGTCAAGCCTAGTCAAGGAGTTAGAGCATTATTTTCTCTAAGCCAGACTTTAGATTTCCACCAGGAAACCCTCATTTTCCACCAGGAAACCCTTTATTTTCCACCAGGAAACCCTGATCAGCCCTGGGCTTGACTCAACTTCCCGGGGAGGTTCTTAAGAAAACATCACCCCCATTTTTATTGTGCTAAAAAACCCATCTTCCTACTTCTGTGAAACATAAAGCCTGACTGCAAAAAAAAAAAAAAAATCCCAGCCCTTTCAGGCTGAGGATTGCCAAAATAAATACGTTTTTAAAAGGTTTAGAGTCAGCAGGATGTGCTTTGCTGGGACTTGGAAAGCCCCGGGGTTGTTTTAGGGCAGGAATAACCGTGTTTTGTAAAGCCAGAAGGACACAAAGACAACACCCAACCAGAGAGGCTGAACCCCAAAAGAAAGTTCAAGGGAAGCAAGGAATTTTGGGAGTAGGATTTTCCTCAGAAATCAGCCCATTCCAGGCAGGTTTTCCTCAGAAATCAGCCCATTCCAGGCAGGATTTCCTCAGAAATCAGCCCATTCCAGGCAGGTTTTCCTCAGAAATCAGCCCATTTTGGGCAGTTTGGGAGGGAAAAGAGCACTGCTAAGTTTAACCACTGGTGTTTCAGAGCATCACCCCCCGTTTCCCCATTCTGCCCTCACTGCCTGGATTGTTTTGGCAACTCAAGAAGTCCAACAGGAGTCCCAAATTCCCAAGGAGAGAAGGGAAAGGGAGAAAAAAAAAATAAAAAGTCACTTTAAAAAATGATTCATAAATCAGATGAATTCATAAATCTTCCCAAACCCCAGGCCATAATCTTAGTTTCAATCGCTAAGAAATCATCCTGATTATCCCAATTCCTGGCACCTTTGTCCCTGTTAATCCTGATTATCCCAATTCCTGGCACCTTTGTCCCTGTTAAGGGCTTCTTTTAGAGTTTTCTAGCTCCTTCTGCTCTCTGAAGGAGACTGAGGAAAACACATACTCACGTGAAAACTGTCATTTACCAAAGGTAAAGTTGAGTTCCTACAGGTAAGGCCATCACAGGTGGCTTTTTGAGGGTTTTAAGGTGTGAAAATACAATTTCTCCAACACAGCCTTACCATCCCTCTGTAAAACTGAGCAGGAACAGTCACCAAACTGTTGCCTTGTTTATTTTAGCTTCAGTTCTGGTGGAAGTAACAAGCCAGATGAGCTGCAACCACGATCTGCTTTGGGTGCTAATGTTGCTCCCTTCATTCTGTGCTTAAAAAGGAAACACATGAATGAGCTCCACAGCCATTAAAATAATATTTAAAAAAAAAAAGCTCAAATATGTTTATTTTGGCACACAGTTAAAAATATACAAATACATTAAATATCAGGGATCATTAAAGCCAATATTTTAAAACACATCTGGGTGTGCATTATTATTTTACAGGGAGATGGGGAACCAAACCACCACGTTATATATTTAATTTGACAGTGCAAACAAACTGTTTGGAGCAGGAATTCACTGGGTTAGACAGCAACAACAACAGTTGAACAGTTCCTGAAACACAGAAAATTGTACAAATCTCTGCTGGAGTTAAAAGTCTGCTGGGTGTAAGAGAGGTGTTGTCACTGAGAAAAACAGAATTAGAGCTTTAGACACTCAACATGAAACCAAGTTACAACGTGCACTCGAGGATAAAGAGGGTTCAGACAGTCCAGTGACCTGATCCTTCAATAATTTCTGGGTAAAAAGAATATATCAGCAACTAAGCAACACGAGAATGCCACGGACAGGTTCACAAGCACAGATTCCCTGCTTCCAAAGGTGCAGTTTCTTGGCATTATTTGCATAGTTACTCCTTTTCCTAAGCAAGTAGGAAAATACTCAGCAACTAAGTTCAGGGAACCTCTAAGACATGATTTCTGCCTGTGAAAGATCTCAGCAGCACGAAGACAAAAAGACATTGAAATGACAGAGACAAAAGTGCCACCTCCTGAACCTCTGGAACTTGGGAGCATCCCAAATATAAATGTATAAAGCACATTTCCCATGGAAAGCTGACGGCTCTCAAAATGCCATTGCCTGTCCAGTAGATCAATAATTTTATTTATCAACATCATAGAAAGACAATGTGAAGTTTCAGGCTTTTTTGTTTGGTTGGTTTTTGGCACAGGAACCTCTTCATGATTTTTTTTTTTTTTAATCCCTGTAGATTTTACAAGGATCTCCTTACCTGTGAGGGGAAGATACAAAAGCACTGAAACTTCCAGAAAACGGGTCTATTCCATAAGATAAATTTATCTGCTCCCATCCCAGTTCTCCTCTTGGAAGAAGGTTTTAAACCCCAGAGAAGAGGGAACGTGGATCACAAGTTCTGGGCTCTCCATATGGGTGACACATCAGATCAAGGCAATTTTTGTTCTCATTTTCCCAAAAAAGAGAACCAACTGTTCCAGTTCCCATTCCTGCCAGGGGATGCTGAGGAAGAGCTTCCAAAGGATTTATTTTAGGAGCACAGAGCCAGAATGGAGTGGCAGCTCCACCAAAAGAGGCAACAGCAACACAGGTAGGTGGGGAGGCACAGGCTGCATAGATAGAACTCACAGAAGGTGACAGTGACACTTCCACCACTTCAGCAACCTCTTTTTTATCCCACTCATTTCCCAGTCACCTACTCTCATGCCTGTCCCAGTATGCCCAGTATGTGTTCACATGGTAACAGTCACCCCTGCCAGGAAAAGAACTGGAGAAGGAGAAGCCAGGCAGGGAAAAAAGTGATTTTACAGCTCCCTTAATTCCCTGCAGGAGCAACTCCTCAGGCACACGGAGAGGGCAGGAACAAATCCAGAGTGGGAGGGGGGTGTTTAGGCTGGTGTTGGAACAAGGAAATCCCCACTGAGCTCTGTCCTAAGGTGCTGGCCTGAAGATTTCAGGTGTGTTAGTGAAGGGCTCGACCAAAGAAACACCTTTATTGCATTGGCAGAAGTTCCCCTGACCCCTCCAGCTCATCCCAACCCTCACTGACAACTGTCCTGCAGGAATTCTGGGCTCCCAGGTTGTCCCAGCCAGCAGGGACAGACTTTGCAGCCTCTCAGTTCCAAACCCCCAGCAAACAGCTCTTTATCCCAGCACTGAGCTGAAGCCAATTGAGAAAACTTCCCACCCAAAATTCCCACCCTTGGGATTGGGCCCATATTGACCATGGCCTTCCAAAGCACTAAGAGCAGCAGGATCAGGAGGGTGGCTCCACAGTCACAGCTAAACCCAGGCTCAGCTGTGGCAGAAGATGCTCCACAGGCATCATTTTTTTGCTTCCAAAGGATTCTGCATGTTAATTATTGTTATATTGTTAAAGGAGTGGCACTTAAGTGTTCCCATCTACAAGTGGCTCCCTTCCTCAAGTCCACAGCCTTGAGTAATCCCGGGATTTGGGGTTGGCCTGCAGCACTGAGCCAGCCAGCCCTGGGGACACGGGGACACGTCACAACACAGGGAGAAGAACTTGCCAGGACAGAGAGTGTGTTCCAAAGAAAGGCAGATTCTTTAAAGGTTTCAAACACAGCACCTGCAGGAGAGAAAGGAGCCCCCAGAGCTGGAATAGTGCATTGCAAAGGAGTTCCTGGAACTGGGTGTCACCTCCAGCAGCTCATCCCCGGGAGGACGTTTGGCACAAACCCTCGGAATTTGGTTTCTGTTCGGGGTCAGCTGCTTGCAACGTTTTCCTGGCACTTCAGTGGGTTCAGAAAAAGGTTCTTTGACACCACAAATGGTCAAGGTCCTCTGTCAGGAGGGAAGGTTAAACATTGCTGACCCTGGTTTCAGAGGAGGAGATGATGGCAGCAGACGTGGAGGTGACCAGGGACCGTTCCCGGCGGACGTATCGCGGCTTCCGAACTGAAAGGCACAGAAACATGGTCAGCACCTGCTCAGGAACATGCCTTTATCCCTAATTTCCTCATGGAAAGGGTGGTCAGGTACTGGAAGGGGCTGCCCAGGGAGGTGGTGGAGTCCCCAATCCCTGGAGGTGTCCCAGGAAGGACTGGATGTGGCACTCAGTGCTCCGGGCTGGGGGACAAGGTGGGCATCGGACACAGGGGGGACTCTGATCTTGGAGCTCTTTTCCAACCTGAGTGATCCTGTGAATCCCTAATTCCTCAGTGAACAAAGTAATCCTGGGCTTTGAAAAACCCCCAACAAAACTAGACCACAAAAAAACCCCTCCTACACAGAGTTGACACAGCAAAAGCCCACAGATCAACTTTTTAAACGAGCTCCCAATGGCCCAGAAAACCAGATGCTCAGGATAAACTGGCATTCCTATTATTTTATTATTCCTATTATTTTAAGTGTTTACAGTACATGGAGCTTTCCATTTTCAGCCCTAAAACTCCCTGACAACTGGACTTCCTCAGATGGATAAATTAAAGGCAAAGAAACCACGAGCAGCACTGTCAGTTTAACAGCCAGCCCAAGCCTGGAACACATCTCAAAACATCTAAAAGTTAAAGAACTGCATTAAAAAAATTCAATTTTAATCATACTATCTTGATTAGAGCAAATCTTCCCTGAGAAATTAATTTCTGCAGGTATTAACCACCACACCTTGCCCAAAAGAGCCCAAAATACCAAAACCCCCCCAAAAATAGAGCGTTCCAAGCAGTCTGTGTAAAGTTCTTTTTCAAGAAGCTGAGAAAGCTTCAAACCAGCAAGGCTGAAAATGAGCCAACCTGGCATTGTCAGGAGGAATCTAATCCTGAAAATAAACCCCAGACTGAATAATTTACTTATGAAAAAATACTGCATCTCCTTGTAAGACTCCTCTCTGTGAGGACAGAGGAGTGGAAGATCTATTTTAGGAGCTGTCACAGATCTATTTTCATGTCAAGTGCTCCATCACTCCTGGTGCCTGCATTAATTAAAGCAATCAATCCCATCCAAAAAGGCCTCACTGGACAGATCTCATTGGATTTCTGTCCCCACCACAGATTCCAGCAGTTGTAAACCAGCTTTATAAATGGTTATTTTGATGTATTGCTGGGTATTCTCAGCATTCCCACTCGGAGGAGAGAAGTTCCCCCTGCTTTTTAGCAGTGATGAAAGGGCAGCCAGGAGGTTGAAAGAGTTGGAGCAGCACATCCCAGGCAGCAGTTCCTCACCTGAAGAAGCTGGGGGAGGTATCATGGATGCCTGCAGAGAACAGGAGAATCATCATGTCAAACAAAGCACCTTTTCACAGTCTTTCATCCAAAAAAACCCCAAAAACACAGCAACATTTCAGGGTTTCAATAATATTTACTGGCTATGGTTTTTCTTGGGGAAAAAAAAATCACTCAGTAGAAGCCAGAAATCCAGATGGTCTGTATTCATTTTCACCTCAGTTTGGACAAATAACCCCCAAAACATCTTTTCTATTTATTTCAGTCTCACCCATCAGATTAAGGAGCTCATTAACGAGCTGTTAAAATTTAAATTATTGTGTAGCTGATGCTTTATTTGCTTGGAAGAAGAGAATTTACTTACTGTTTCACTAGGCTGGAGAACAGATGCTAAAAGAGAGAGAAAGAGAGAGATTAACCCTCATTAATCTAAAAGGCTGGAACTGCTGCTTTTCCAAAAATACATTCATGCATGGAATAGTTTTATGGCTAAAAAAAAAAAAAAAAGAGTTTTGTCATAAAAACCCAGCAAAGCAGAGCAGGAAAGTCAGAAAATCCATCAGGGGAACACATTGGGTGTAGGACTCTCTTCAAGATTTGAGATAAAGGGTTGTAAAGTCTTCAAGAGGGACTTATTTTGCTTTTAAAGGAGGAAACCTCAGCAGTCCCTTTGACAAGGAGAGCTTTCAGTGGGAACAATGTCACTTGGAGCCAGGAAAAAATAAAAGGACAAATAAAAATGTGAACCCCTTCAGCCAGAGGGGTGATAATCATCCTCCAGACAGAATGGAAGCTGAGAATCAGCCAGGGGAATGTTTGTTAAGGTTTTCTCCCTCTCAAAGAAGGACATTTATGTTTTATCCTGCTGGATCAGGTGGAATTATCAGCCCAAAAGAGGGAAGTCAGACCACAAGCACTGCAGCATCAGAGGTTGGGTGTCCTGCCAGCTTAGAAATGTCAGAAACCAGCTCCTGATCCCCTAAAAACCAAAGGAGAACCTGGTGCTGACTAAATTTCCTTGAAAAAGCAACTCAGACATCTCAATCCTTCAAGGATATTATCAATTCTTGATCAGTTCAGACTCAAAGAGCCACTGGAGTGAAATTTTCTATCAAATGATAGTACAGGGACTGGAAATGAGGTGGGCCAGGGAGTTCCTGTGGAGAGATCCAACATTCTCAGCCCAAGAATGGAATTTTATTCTTCCCCTCACCCCCTGCTTTTGATTTTTAGGATTATTTCTGCTGTGAGACAGGGCTGGAGTCAGGGCAGGGCTGGTTCTTCAGCAGAGGTGCCAAGAAACAGCTTCCTTTCAACAGAAGGAGCTCTAACACAGCAAGGCAGAAAGGGAGCTGGGAGTTTGGATTGATAAGAAGCTGAACAGGAGCCAGAGTGTGCCCAGGGGGACAAGAAGGCCAATGGATCCTGGCCTGGCTCAGGAACAGTGTGGCCAACAGGTCCAGGGAAGTGATTCTTCCCCTGGACTCAGCACTGGTGAAGCCACCCCTGGAGTGCTGTGTCCAGTTCTGGGCCCTCAGCTCAGGAAGGACATTGAGGGGCTGGAGCAGGTCCAGAGGAGAGCAACGAGGCTGGGGAAGGGACTGGAGCACAAGTGCTGTGAGGAGAGGCTGAGGGAGCTGGGGCTGTTCAGCCTGGAGAAGAGGAGGCTCAGGGGAGACCTCCTCACTCTCTGCAACTCCCTGACAGGAGGGGGGAGCCAGGGGGGATGTTGGTCTCTTTTCCCAGGCAACCATCAGCAAGACAAGAGGGCTCGGGCTTCAGCTGTGCCAGGGGAGGTTTAGGTTGGATTTAGGAAGAATTTCTTTGCAGAGAGGGTGCTCAGCCATTGGAATGGGCTGCCCAGGGAAGGGGTGGATTCTCCATCCCTGGAGGTTTTTAAGCTGAGACTGGATGTGGCATCAGTGCCATGGGCTGGGAACCACAGTGGGGTTGGATCAAGGGTTGGACTTGATGATCTCAGAGATCCCTTCCAACCCAGCTGATTCTGTCATTCTATGAAATGGGATGGAAGGTGGCATGGGAATCATTCCAAGTCCCACATCCCACATTAGCCCCAGTTCCACACCAAACACTGGGAAGGATGGAGGCATCACTGACTCCCAGCAAGGGAAACCAGCCCAGTGTGGTCAGACAGAACAGCAGAGAATGGAAGCATCTGATGGGTAAAGTCTTGGCTAAGCACAATCCAAGGGTTCTTTCCCTAGTTTTGCTGGAATCACTTTGCCATGAAGTCAGGATTAGGTTGCCCAGAGACACCCCTGGAAGTGTCCAAGGCCAGGTTGGACAAGGCTTGGAGCAACCTGGGCTGGTGGAAGGTGTCCCTGCCCATGGGAGACATGACCTTTAAGGTCCCTTCCTTAGGGAATCGTTCCATGATTCTCTGATCTGAGTCTCAATAACAGGAATGGTAGAAATAAAGAATAAATTTCCTCATGAAAAGAAAAGCTAAGGGGTGTTCCTTAAAAAAAAAAAGCAAAAACCAGGCAGTTAGTTCTCCCAAACCTCCCTAAATCCTGAATTTCTACAGTGCAATAATGAGGAACTTCTCATTCCATTCCCTTTCTCCTGCTGCTGCCACATCCATGGTAACTCCAGCACCCTTCTCTCTTCCTGCTCCTTCCTCTCTAATCCAAGAATAAACACCAACTGCTTTTTGTGAGCCTTTAGAAATGTCTAATATTCAGTGACAACTCAAGTCAAATTATTGTGCTCTGGAAAAAACTCTGGAACACCCTAAACATGAGGGAGAAACACCCTAAACATGAGGGAAAACACGACCCTAAAAAACACCCAGCAGGAGAAAAATCTTGCTTTGGATGATGAGAAAAACCAGCAGCAGCTGCACTGAGTTAGAAAACACAGGAAATAATTTAAAATTAAATCAAAGTTCATTTAGGGATTTAATAGACAATTTTACCTTTGTTCCTTCTGTAGAAAATGTTGGGAAGTTTATTGGCACGTTTGAGGTAGAAGAAAGAAGCAACAGAGAGAATCAGGAACAAACTGATGAAAAATGTCCCTAAGATGAGGGAAGCTGCCACTTCTGGGCCCCCTGTGCAAAGAAAAAAAAACACATTATAAAGAGAGAGAAAACAGTTATTCATCAGAAATCCCTTCTAATAAAAGGGTTAAACAACAGATAAAAGGCCAACTTCCTGATACTCATTCTCTGCTTGAGAAGTCCATGTTCTGAAGGGCAATAAATGCCTCAAATTGAGAATATAGACATGCAAAGACAAATTAGGAAGGGATCAGCAGCTGCCACATTCACCAGGGCTGCTGAGCTCTGCCTTCTAGGAAACACTGAACCAATTCTAACACTTAAACCACTTTATCCAGTCTCTTTTTGCCTAAATATTCTCCATTTGTGTTCTTCTTACCAGTGTCCAAGTGTTTTTAGGAGCTTAAACTGTGATAAAACCAACCAAGAGAAAGGCTCAGTGAGATGTAGGAGATGTGTCACATGTTACCTCAGCCCTAAAAGCCCAAAATCTTGCAGCATAAAGGTTCAAAACCCAGTTTTTTGGTTTCATAAACGAGCTCAAGCTGCACTAGAAAATCCCCTGTAGATCCCAAGGTGAAAGAACCATTCAGCAAAAAAATTACCTTAAAATTCAACTCAGATTTATCAGAATCTTTAGAAAAGATTCTTGTTGAGAATAAGACTGGAAAGGTTAAAAAAATTCTACTCCACTTAGAATAAAGCCTGTTTGAGAAATAAAAGCTAATAATGAAATAAAACCTGTTTTTACAACTTGTTGGTAGACAGGGAATAATCACAAAACCAATTTACTCACCTATGTTCTGTAGGAAAGGAGTTACAGTGCTTATGTTCATCTGGAAATTCATCCCTCTGCTCCCAGCTGCAATTAAAAAGAACATTTTTAAAGGCAAACATAACCAAAAAACTACAGTTGTGTTGAAAATCATAGTAAAAGATTATTAACTGCTCAGTAATTATTTGAGGTTATATATGTATAATATTGGAAATACAATTTGAGGTTGGACAGGAATCCTGATTTCTCCCCTGATAAATTGAATTTCACTTTATATATATCACTTTTGAATTCTTTTTGGGAAAAAAAAAGCAAGCAAACATCATCAGAATTTGTCAAATAATAAAAAAAAAAAAAAAGAATTCACTGCTGCATTTCCCAGGAACTCAGACCAAGTTTCTGAGCTCCTTTTATTAAACTTATTGACAAGGAATTGGATGGTTCTCACCTCTCCAACAAAGCTCAGACACAAAATGAAATCCAGGCTCCTTAATATAGATTTTTTTTTCAAAGAACTCAAGCACAGTCTGAGCTATTTTGTGCTCTGGAGAGAAATGCTGGCAAAACACCCCCAGCAAATGCCTTTTTCTTGAAGTGCAGATGAAAGTTGCCCCCAAATTCAGCATTCACTGGGTGTCTGCCACTGATCCTGCTTCGAGAGTTTAATCATTTCAGTGTTCAGGACTGGTTTATTTCATCATTTTTATTTCATGCCACATTTGCCTTTGCCCAACAAGATTTGGAAGGGTTTTTTTCCCCCCTGATTCCACGTCACTCTGCAGCTTCTTTACGCTGAGTTTCCAAGTTTCTACAGGTTTTGGTGCGTGTTCAAAAGCTCAAAGTCACTTTGGAAAAGTTTTACAAAGGAAGGGGAATAAAAATCTGCAGGATTTGAGGCCTTCTTGGAGAGTCTTGCCAAAGAAGAGATGGCAGGGCTAAAAAAAAAAACCAGAATAAAGGGCTGGTAAATGACTCACTAGTTCTGCACTCGGTCAGGTTGTAAACAGAGGAAACAGGCAGGGTTTCATTTTTGCATTTAATGCAGCTGCTGCTTCCATCCTCATTCCATCTCCTGTAACAACCTGCAGGGGAACAACAGGTCCAGAGCCATGAAAACCACAAAAGCAACACTGGAGGCAAATTTTTTTCCCACTTTTTGGGCGTTTCTTCCCCCAAAAGAGGCAGAAATTCCCTCTGCTCTGCTGGTTACAGGCACCTCCTGCTTCCTAATCTATCACAATTATTTGGATTATTAATTTAATTTCATTTCTGTTGGATTATTTTCATTTCAAAGCATTTATTCCAGAAAAAAAAGGTATTTTTTACCCAAAAGAGGGTATTTCTTTGGGTATTTTTTCCCCCAAAAGAGGGAGAAATTCCCTCTGCTCCGCTGGTTACAGGCACCTCCTGCTTCCTAATCTATCACAATTAT